ACTCCTTGGAGGCAAGGATTCTGGGGCTTCGTCCGACATACTTTGGACATGTTGCCAGGAGGGACGGGTCCTTGGAGAGGGACATCATGCTTGGTAGGGTGGAGGGACGGCGCAAGAGGGGAAGATCCTCTATGAGATGGATTGATTCAATGACTGCGGTAATCGGGATGGGTGTGTCAGAGGCAGTGCGATTGGCACAGGATAGAACACGGTTTAGGGCTGTTGTACATAGGTTCTCTGAGTCGCAAACGACAGCACATAACAACAACAAACAACATACTTCATTGATAGATTGTCTTAGAAAGATCATAGGATCATACGAGTAAATGCAGAAAAAAATCTTTTTGACATCCATTCATGACAAATTTAGCAAACTAGGAATAGACATTTCGTTAAACTGAAAGCAATATTTAAAAATATCAAAACAAACATTCTATTTAATGGTGAAATGTTAAAAGGTTTTCTATTGATGTTGGGAATAAGCAAATGTGCCTTCCTATCCCCTCTAGTTTTTATCAAATTGCACAGAAGAGCATAATTAATTAAATAAAATAAATAAAAGGTGAAAGGATCAGATGCAATAAATCCATGATTCACAAGCTTATATGATTATGTAATGAGCCCTGAGAGCACAGTTGACCAAGCGTTGGGCTGGAAGATGAATTTTAAATGAGCATAAAGTCTTCCCCCACTGTGGGAAGCCTCTGATAACCATCATAAGAGAGCTCAGCCATGCTAAGTACATTAGCCCTGTGAAGACAGTAGTTACCTGGACTTTGAGTATCACTCTTCCTGGTAAATTGCCAGCCTTGACCAGTGGTACTCTCAGATACTGGTCTCCACTAATTGAAGGCTGATTTTTCTTACTGGTTTTGACAGTACTCTCTGGAAGATTGTGTCACAGTCTGATCCTATTAAATCTGTGCCTTTTTGCTGAAGTAGTTTTTTGGAGCTAATATTTGAATGTGCTCTGATTTCAGGAAGCATTTAACCCTCTCTTTGGTTTTCTCTGCCAAAATTATTGTCCTGCAGTTTAACTTGCTGCTTTCATGGAGTTTAGTTGTAGATGTCTAACCATCAAAATCTCCATTGTTTTTAAAAATGTTCTTGGACATGAACACATTCTTGTTCTAAAATCAGAGTGTTTGGGGAGAGCTTCATAGCGATCTGTTCTATGGCCTGCCTCTCCCACTAAACAGAACTTTAAGTGACTGCCAGGACAGGAGCAGTAGCCTGATTCTCCAGGAATGACGTCCCCATTGTTAGAGTTACTGTGTCACTTTATCTCTTTGAGAGTCTTCCTCTCTTTTGCTGACCCTCCACCTTCCCAAGCATGATGTCCTTTTTAAGGACTGGCCCCTCCTTACACCATGACCAAAATATGTGAGATGAAACTTCACCCTCCTTAGAGGCAAGGAGCACCCTGGCTACATATTTTCTAATACATATTTTATTATTGTTTTGGCAGTCCATGGGATATTCAGTCCTCCTTTCCCAATACCACAACTCAAAGACATCCTTAGTCATTGTCCAATTTTCAAAAGCATATCAGGTAATTGAAAAGACAATGCTTTGAATCAGATACACCTTAGTCTTTAAACCGACATCATTGCTCCTTAATGCCATAGAGAGAGAGGTCCTTGACAGTAGATTTCCAATGCTTACTAGTCCTACCAAAATTTAATATCTTTTCTTACATAAGTGATTTTTTTTCCCCTCTGTTCTAAGCTCTTACAACATTTCTAAGAGATCTTAAGCGGAGCAGGTCCACAGGGTTTCTTAAGCCATCTTTCTGGAAATTAATTTCAGGAGTGCTTTTCATAACTTCCATTCATTTTCAACCTAACTGCTTTCAATGGCTGAGCACACAAACCTTTTCAAAACTATCAGAACTAAATAAGAATTTAAAGCATCACCTAATACAAAACGTTTTTATTAGAAATAAGTTTAGCTGAAATATTTACCAACCCTAAATATGCTTTTTAAAAAAATAGGCTTTTAAACAAAAAAAGCATTTTGATCCACAGTTAGCACCTTGGTACCAGCAGTCAGGAAATCAGGAGACTTACTGTCTTGGGTAAGTCTGCAGTTAGGGACCCATCCAAATTATTGAGGACTAAGGTGTTTGGAAACTAAGATGCATCTGATTCGGGCCAGTGTCTTTCTAGTCACTTGCCATGCATCTGAGAGCTGGACAGTGAATAGGAATGACAGAAGAATTGATCCCTTTGAGTTGTTGTATTGGAGAAGAGCACCGAAAATCCCATGGACTTCCAAAAGAATAGATATATGTCTTGGAGAAAGTGCAGCCAGAGTGTTCTTTGGAGGCAAGGATGATGAGGCTTCACCTCACATACTTTGGTCATACTGCTAGGAAGTGCTATTCCTTAGAGAAAGGCATGATTTTGGGAAGGGTCGGCGAAGGAGAGGAAGACCTTCAACCAGGTGGATTGACACAATATCTGCCACAGTGGGCTCTAGTGTGTCAGGAAGTGTGAAGATGGCACAGGATAGGACAGGGTTCAGATCCGCTGTTCCTAAGGTATCTATCTGAGTTGTACTCAACTCGATGGCACCTAACAACAACAGATATGCTTTGCAGAGACTAGTTTAAATTATAGCCCCTGAAGAAAAAGTTACAGTTTGTGTCAGGCTATATTCCCATTACTTTATGTATATTTATTTCTCAAAAACTCTCCAAAGGTAGCACTGCAATCCCAGAGGCAAACGGTTCAAATCCACCAGCTGCTCTGCTGGAGAAGGAGGGGCCATCTCCTCCTGTACCAGTCAGATCTGATTTGACAGTACGTGTGTACACACACACACACACACACACACACACACACAATTAATTAATTGATTGATTGAGTAATTTTTTTAAAAACCTCTCCAAAGGTAAATGCTTTTAGTAATTCATTTGTGGAAGATCT